TAATCCCCGATTTTGAAACTCCTCCTAGTATTTCATTATTTTTTCTTTCTAGATTTAATTTAACAACATTTTTTCTCTATGCAAAGACCCCAGAATTGTGTGGAATCCACCTCTTTCCCGGCCTAAATATTACAAAGTGTTTTTGCGCCCGCGGCATTTGACGTACCACAAAAGGGGGCGTTCTCTTTAGCTGCGGGAAAATGGGGAAGGGACCGGGGCACGGGGCGACGTTTATTGGTAATAATTATGGCAGGCAGCAGATCAAACACCCCAAACACATCCACAAGGGCGACCCCAATCCTGGGAGAGCTCCATTCCTCCTCCACTTCGGCCCCGGGAGACGGCAGACAATGTCAAAGTGTGATTTTTCGCTTGAAATACTTTGGCGCAAATGCCGGCGACGGCAGCCCTTGTCTCCTTCTCGGTTGAATGTTGAGTTCGAGTTCGGAAAATATGTTTTACTGACATTTTGAATTATGCTCGAGTGCTATTGTATTATTGCCTTATATATGTATATATAGACATAGAGAGAGGACGCTGTTGTGGGTGGGATTGTGGTGGCATACCATTGAAAATTGAAATTTATCTTATATTTATTGAATGTAGATTGTGACAGTGATGAAATGTGGGGATTGGGTAAGGATGAGTTCTTTTATTAATTTAGCAAGAAAATTAATGGGGTAAATGGGGAGTTTGCAGTTATCTTGTCAAACCCTTACAGGGTATTACAATTTCAGTCAGAATCATGCAACGCAGTGAAAGAGTTATTTCCGACCCTATAAACTATACATATATAGTAATGATCAGCATGAACAGCCGAGTCGATCTAGCGAGGTCCAGCAAATATTTAATTTTTTCAAAATTTTAAAAATATTATAAGGTTACATCGTTAAAATTGGCAAAATTTTTAATATATTTAAATTTTAAACTATGTATGCAAAATTATAACAAAAACTAACATAGGAATGGAATCCGAATCAAAAATTAATGGATTTTTGACTTACTTATGAGATTTTTTAACCTTGATTGGTTAAACAATTGGTCATATAAAAATATAAATATTAAGCATTAAAAATGGTAATACACTGCGCGTCATCAGATTAGCGCCCCCTGAACATTCTCGGGTATTGTCCAATATTATCCAAACTATCAAGGCTAAAGCCATAAAACTTTTTTTGACGATACTTTTAATAATATTCTTCAAAATAAGATAAGGTACATAATGATAAGTATAACAATAATATTTTATTTATTTGAAAAGAAAATGTATACCAAAAATATGAATTTAATTTTGCGTCATCAGATTAGCGCCCCCTGCTTAAATTTAATGAATTTTCACTTAATGCTTAACAACTAGTAGTGTTTTATGTTTTATCTTATTATTTACTTATTTTCTAATCAAATTAATAGTGGGTGGTCCCGCCCCCATTTTCCAGGACCTCACAGATCCTGCTGGGAAGTGACTCGTACAATTTCTCAACGTATTGTAATGATATTGAAGACCAAGCTTCTTTAATCCCGTCGATGAGCTCCAATTTTGTACTATACTGCTCTCCAGACTCGTATACTTTTCTCGAGAGCCATCCCCACACGTTCTCTATTATATTTAAGTCCAGAGAGTACGGCGGCCACTCCAGGACATCAACGTTTTGGCCCTGTATCCACGATTTTAAAGATCGGGCAGTATGGATTGGAGCGTTATCGTGTTGAAAACGCCATTTAAGATTTCCAAAACAATTTTGGAAGTGTGGGAAAGCCGTTTTTAAAAGATTATTATACGCCACGGCGTTCATTTTTGGGGTGAGAAATTGTAACTCATAGGTGCCATAATGGGATATGGCTCCCCATACCATTACAACACCTACCCGGCTATGTAAACGATCTAAAATATGCTCTTCTTTACGCATGTCATGGAAATAATAATTATAGCCATCAGGGCCTTCTAAATTAAATATGTTTTCATCGGAAAAGACTACAAAGCGCCACTCCTTCGACCATGTCATATGCGAGCGAGCAAAATTTAGGCGCATTTCCTTTCGTAACTTATTTAGTTGTGTTTTTTTTTTTAGTTTTAGTCTTTTCAAGTGTTCTGCTTTTTTTATGACTCGTAATACCGTGGACTTGCTAGCTTCCACACCGCTTTTTTCTTTAATTTTGGTAGAAGAGTCGTGTGAATTAGGCGCATGTCTAACTATATACCGAATGTCTGCTTCGGAAAGAACTCTGTTGTTACCGCCTTTCATGTTTTTACCATAGCCTTGTTTATTTTAAAGAAAACTGGCTATAGTTTTTCGATGCCTTCCCATTTTTTCAGCAATTTTATGTAAAGATAAGCCACTTTCACTAAAGGCTTCGATCTTAGATTTTTCTTCTAAAGATAGGACAGTTCCTTTACCCATTTTGATTCTTAGTTTATGAACAATTATTCAATTAATCAGCACAAAAAATTTCACAACTGTACGCCAAAAATTACGCGAAATAACTAAATTTGAATTTACAGGCGCTAATCTGATGACGCAAAATTAAATTCATATTTTTGGTATACATTTTCTTTTCAAATAAATAAAATATTATTGTTATTCTTATCATTATGTACCTTATCTTATTTTGAAGAATATTATTAAAAGTATCGTCAAAAAAAGTTTTATGGCTTTAGCCTTGATAGTTTGGATAATATTGGACATTACCCGAGAATGTTCAGGGGGCGCTAATCTGATGACGCGCAGTGTATAGTGTTAGTCAAAAGCTTAAAACTACTTGAAGGAGTCATTTCCGACCTTATAAACCATATATATTCTTGATCAGCATCAACAGCCAAATCGATCTAGCTTTATCCGAGTAAAATTAAATTTTTTCAAAATTTTGAAAATATTATAAGGGTTTACATGGTTAAAATTATCAAATATTTATAAAAATTTGTAATATTATTAAATTTGAAATTAAGATTGCAGATTTCTAAACCTAAAAAAAACTTGCATAGGACAGCTTTTCGTTCTGAAATTAATGAATTTTTGGCTTAGTTATGATATTTCAAACTCTTTGTTTTATTAAAAAAGTTAGCTTATAAAAATATCGATTTAAGTTCTTTATTTATACAAAAATTTTCTTTGCATTGGATTTTTCTTGTAAATAGAGTCAAGTCCTACAGAAATGTAAAAGTTAAATGATTTATATTCAAGTTTATTTGTTTTTAAAGTAACCATTCTTGGCTTCTTCATAATTACTGCGAATTAAATTGATTTAAATTGAAATCCCATGAATACAAATTGTGTAACGTATTTAAAATAATTCCCTTTTTCTTCACAATCCAAAAAAAAACATCTCATTTAGCTACATAAAACGTCTTTCCATCTGCCTGCATTTCAAGTCACATCTGAAGTGGTTGCGACTCTCGACCAGAAACGATTTTAATGTATTTTATATTCAGCATTTAAAGATTAAATTTCCTGGAAATGAGTGTGTGCTTCCCGGAGCTTCTACACTTTTATCCTCCACAGCACCCGCTCCTCCTTACACAGGGCGAAAAAATTATAGATTTGCATAGCAAATGTATGATAAATAATTAATTAAAATTAAATAAATAATAGAAATGAAAATAAATCTCCAAGAGAGACTTGGGAGATATATTTATATATTGATATTCTAACCTTATAACTTTACAAAACTATACAATATAATCGCAAAAAGAGAACGAAATTAATGCTAATTTAATGTTAAATTTACTACTTTTCGATATTTCGAATTTTGATATATAGTAGTAGTAATAGTTGATTTCTCCTTTAGTTTTCTCTCCTAGTTTTCTCTCCTAGTTTTCTCTTGTATCTAGTCTTTTCTGCTGGATTAATTTGTGTAATAACCTCAGGGCTCCAAATATAAGTTACATTTTGTTCATCTCTTTAATTTTACACCCATTTTCGCTGAGTGCATCCCAATTCCAAGATCGTTGGCAGCCATTATGCGAGGGCTGCTTCGACTGGCTGCGCCTGCGCTCCGAATTGTTTCGAGGCCAAGCCCAATATGGAGGGCCTGGGCACAATAACCACTTGAGTATATATACATATAAATGCAAAGTAAACTTGTGTTTTTGTACATGTGTATACTTTACACATAACTTGCTTTTTGTTGGCATTATGTGCGCATTTCAATAATAATCGGACTCGGGCGGACTCACAATGAACACGCGAGTGCCCACAAAGGACGCGAGTATATAGTGTGCCCATTGTAAGGATGTGTGTGTGTGTGCTCCTTGGTCCTTTGTTCGCCTCCTTTGTGCAATGTGTTAAAAAGTTGTAAGCATTCAATGCCCCGATACCGATTCTGCGATACTACGATACTGCGATACCGCGATACCAATTGCAATTGAGGCTCGCGCAGGCGCGGCGGCATCTTGAATTTCCCACATCCTGCACCCAAGCTGGATTTCCAGGAATGGGATTTTTATGAAATTGTAATTCAATTAAATGCCAAAGTAGTAGGAAGTTGTACTCATCCTTTGTTCGGATAATTGTGGCTGTAATTGATATTTGCTCGCTCGCTCGGCAATTCAATTAAGTGCTTCGACAAAAGATTAATTGTCCGTGTGGGCGAGTCCTGCGTGACTGGAATTGTTCCAGCGAACAAGACAGGACACTGATCAGAAATGCCTCTGAAATTTAATATTCAATAAAGTTTTAAGCCTACATTTTTGTGGTCTATTATATGAAGTTAAAGATTTGCTCGAATGTTTTATGATAATTTGAAAGAATTAGTACAATAAAATTGTAGTTAATCTCTAATGTCTAATTAATAAAGTTTGTTTTATATATTATTTATTTTTCATATATTTTAAGGGCAATGTAATACATTTTTCAAATCAATAGGACAAACAGTTGCAAAAATAAATGTTTGGAAAAATGCTATTGCTTGTTATCCGCGGATTAAGGTAGATTTTATTCAAATTCCTTCAACTATTTTCAGGTTTTTGGTGAAAACCATAAAATATCTATTCATAAAAATGTGTAAATACTGTCCAGCTCTGGCCCAGATCCCCAGGAGCTGCAACAGAATGACAAGGCGACAATTCTTTGGTCGGCAGCTCACATACACATCGCTCATACGCAGTGGATGCCAGCACGAACTTCCGGTTATAAATTGTACTATGTCACACGCATGACGTCAAATCGAAATGCCTTGTAATGCGAACAAGTTAATGCGGCACATGGCAAATTATGTTTCGACATCAACGGGAATCGAGAACTGAAGAGGAGAACTGATAATGGAGAATGGAGAACTGGGAACCGAGCAGCGGGTAAGTGATAAAAGACAAAATAACTTTGTTAACGAGGCTCTTAAGCACATGCACACACGCCCCCCTTAAGACAATCGAACAACAACAAATGGTTGTCACTGGGTGGGTTTTCCCCTTCATCCTTGAGCCCTTTCCGCCCATCATCAGACACTCTTTCACACACACACCCACCCGCTGAAAACAATGTGAAAATGTGGAGTAGAAAAATGCCAAATGACTTTTTCACAGGGAAAGAAAATATGGAAAACATTGTGGGAATGGTAGTATAATTAATATAAAAATATGTGTCTTTATATTTACTTGACAATGCATGACAATTTTCTATTTCTAAGTTTAAGTATTGCTTCCTTAACCTCTCATAGAGATGTTAAAACTTTTAATGGTTTAATACAATATTTATTTGATTTTCCTCTTACCTTACTTCTAAATATTCTTCTGTACTATATTTTCTTTTCTCTGTTGGATTGGGGGACATTTATCTGCGAGATGTGAAATAAAAGCTATAAGGAATGGTTGGCACATTATCCTTTCGAGAAATGCTAATGTTATAGCAGCCACCAAACCATATAACCGAAAAAGACAAATATGCAAATGTGTTTTTTTTTCTTGGCTTGCCAAGCTCCTTGCTCGATTTTCCTTTTCTTCCTTCCATTTATCCATTTGGCATAGTTGCTGTCGCTATTTAAAGTTGAAGTCGTTAATGTGCCGCTTGATATCCTTTTTTATAACTCAATATTTTGTGGATAATATTTAAGGGTTTTCGAAGTTGCAAAGGGGGTTTGATATCAACCCTAACTACGTAATTATTTAATTTATGGTTAGTTCTAAGTGACTAAAATAATATATATAAAATTAATATAGCGCATTCAAAAGTCTCTAAAGGTTTTCGTTAGAGAAAGTCCCCATTTAGACTGCATTGAATGCCAATATAAAATATTTCTTAATATTTCCTCTTTTCGATTTTTCTTTATTCTTTTTTGCTACAGCAGTTTATACACTAAACTTAATTTGAATAAAAATCTGCGTAAATTGCAGACATACGCCTTTTTCCAGGACACTGCTCCAGGGGGGGGGGCAAGAGTTAGGGTTTCAGAGACAAAAGAAAGGTTGCAGGAGGCACTGCATCCTTTGTGTCCTGACTAATTCGGTTACGGTTCGAGGCTCGATAAAGCGATAACCATTAGCAGAAGGCATTCGGTTAACTGCGCGTGTCATTACAAATTATTAACAATTCCAAGTGGAGGCCAGAGTCCTGACTCTGAGTCTGGCTCTGAACCTTTGGCGAGAAATGCCAAACAAAAGTCGGAAGTTGCCGAAGAATTTGCCATCGGGGTGTTTTGGGTGACGCGCCAAACAAGGAGTTTGCATGATTTAAATGCCATTTTAATTGAGTTTCAGCCAGGGCCCAGAGCTATATACATATATAATATAAATATATATAACCCCCCGTTGGTGTGCAATGCCAACAAGCGTTTTCCGACCGCATTCAAATGAAATTTGCCACCAGCTGCGAAAGCTGAAGCTCGGGAGCAAATCGGAGCTTGTGCGTCCTCCTCCTTCGATGGGGAAACATGTCGCACGCCGCTCACAGGACGAAGTAACAATGCCATCTATGTTATGTGCTATATTTCTCTGTAATTTGTTATAAACCACAAAGTTATAGGGGGTTTGTTTTTAGAAAATATACATACATTTATATGTTGTTTATATTATTTTATTTTACTGTGTTATGAACAAAATTGCGGCTGTCCACTTCTCTCTTTTAAATTCATTATTTAAAATGCTTTGAAATACTTTTTACATTCTATTTAGATTATTTGAGTTTCTTTCTTGATAAAAAACAATAAAATAACTAATACCACAAGTAAAACAAACAAAAAAGAACCTATTGGCATGGCATTGAAATAATATTCTGCATATTTTAAATTAGTATTTGATTTGATTTAGATTTATTTTAAAAGTTTTAATTGCATAGTATTTAGACTTGAAAATGTACTCGAGTCCTCTTAAACATACCTTTAAGCGAGATAACTTGATTTATATTTTAAAAAACTTAAAATAGCTTTAAAAAGTAACAAATTCAATGCAAAAAGTGGCCATTATTTATTAAGTTGTCAGGACTCCAGGACTCCAGAATACAAAACTGGCAGCGCCATTGCTGTGCTCGCAATTATGAAACTATCCTGAAAGTCCTGAGAGCATTTCCGCCTCCCTTTGTGTGCGTGTGTGTGTGTGTGTATGTCGTATCTTTGAAACTTTTCCCATTGGCTGATATATGTGTCCTGTCCTCCAGCCATTGTGCTTTGCGGCTAAGGAGGAGTAACGCGAACTCGATCCCGAAATCAATATCAGTTGTATCCTTCGGCAGCAACAAAAGAAGCTGAAGCCGCGCTGATTGACAGAAACAATTCAAATAAAGGAGTGTATGTGGATATGTGTGTGTGCTCTCTAAGGGGAGGACAATCGGAGCGAACAACCCTTCAGCACTCAACTACATTTTGATTAAAATTTCATTTGTAGCTGCGCTACCAAATACAATACATTTATTTCCTTTGAGTCCCCACCAACACTCGCACTCGCACTCGCAGCGAGGGGGAAACGGAAAACTACTCGAACAACAAAGCGCACAAAAGCGAATCCTTTTCAGTTTTATTTGATTATATATATGTATATATATTCGCATTGTGTGTGTTTCTTGTTGCTTCTGCTGCCGCTTGTCAACATTCCCGAGTTCCAGAAGGGGTTGCCAGTCGGAGCAGAGTCCTGGACCCCGAACCGGAGTCCTTGGACAGCCAGCCAGCCAACCAACTGCCATTCGTCTGTGAAATAAAATGTATAACTTCCATTATTATTATTTTTGTTGTTTTCTTTTTTTTTTATTATTATTCAGCCCGCTGGCCGTTTGTCGCCTCACTGACGCCCCCATTTATTTCCTTCTTTATTTTGTTCCAGACACAGTAAAAAACACTATTACTGTTGAACTTTGACATTTTAAATGGGACTGTTATAATTATTTTTATAATATTTTTATAGTTTTAGCTGATGTTGTAAGTCTCTTAAAAGGAGTTTTATTTTATCAAAGGATTTCAGTGGTAATTATTCATTTTCTCTGGAAATATATTCCTTAACTTAAACATTTCTTTAATTCTTAATTTTTCGAAAAAACATTCCAAACTGAACTTTCTACATTTTTTACATTACATTAATTGTAAGAGATATTTATACCCTTTCAGGGTATTCTTATTTTAGTCAAAAGCTTTAAACTAATTAAGGAGTCATTTCCGACCCTTTAAATCATATTTATTCTTGATTAGCATTAAAATGTGAGTCGAACTAGCTATGTCCGAGCAAAATTTTATTTTTTCAAAATTTTGAAAATTTATAATTTTTTCGTTGAAATTGTCAAAAATTTACAAAAATGTTTATATTAATTTGAGTATGCAGATTTATTAACCTAATAAAAATAAACTTTAATAAACTTTAAATAGCACACAAAATCGATTCATAGAATGCGATTCGATTCGATTTCGATACGATCCTAAAATTCAATTGCATACTGCAAGGGTATATCAACTTTGGCTTCTCGAAGTTCATATTATGTTATATTATGTCACAAACTTTAAGTATTATTTTAATAGTATATTTTTTCTTTTCTTTCTATTCGGAAATAAAAATATTTCCCTGTTATTCCCTTTCAAACTAAAAACTTTTCAGTGCTTGTAATTTGACTATTTTTTCTCCACTGACTGACACACTCTTGGCTTTATTTTAATATTATTTTAAATGATATTTTTTGCACACTCTGCCTGCGTGAGAGCTGTCCGTATTGTTTCGTCCTGCCAATCCCCTTCCATATCCTTTCACACACACACGCACACACTTTCGGGGCTGCTCCTTTGTTCCTCCGCTCGCTTTTTGGAGTAGCTCTTGAGTTACGTTGCCATTTTCGTGCTCCGGTTGCCGTTTGCTCCTCGCTCTCTTTATTATATTTGAGCATTTATTTTGCATATTGTACCCAGTGTTTGTTTTTTATCCGTCTTTTGTGGCTCGAGTGCAAAGGACATAATATATAGTGTATAGTGGAGAGAATTGCTTTCTATAGTGTTGGACATTGGACATTCCTTGTCAGATTAGTTGTATTGTAATTCAATGTATTTTAAAGGTGTTTGAGAGGATGCCAATTTATTTTTTAGCTTTTACATTGTACTTGAAACACTTGAAATTAGTTTATAACTAAATCGCACAGTCTCTCAAGTAATTAATCCCTTAAAAAACATCAAACAAAGTAAACTTTGATCGAAATCTATTTACATCTTACTCTCCGTTCACACGTGCCAATTATTTTGGCTGATTTGACGGCAGATCCCCGTACTTTCCTGCGTGTCCTGCACAAAGGACTCGACACACTCTCAAGCCCACAAATCAGTTGACAATTAAACAAAACAAAATAAACTGTTGGATAAACAACGCCGCCCCTTGATGAGGCAAATCACGGCATTTAGATATTTATCGCGCTCTCGACTCTCTGGGTTAACCCCATCGTAGAACCACCACCGCGACACTCTGGCGGAGGAGGAGTGGTGGCCACATGGTCACCCAACCAAAGCAACCAAAGCAACCACTTACCACTTGGGCTGAGGATTCAAAGTCGGGGAATCACACGTCGATGTCAACCGCAGAGACAGGGCGACACACGTGACATTTGCGCAGTCGAAAAACGAGAATGGAAATGAAAATCAAATCGCTTGACGAGGATCGTGGTCACAATGGCGGAGTGCAACCACCCCGGGATTCGGATCCGTCCCACGCCCTTAGTTTGGGTGGATTTTTTTTGAAAGAAATAAAAAATAAAACGAAATTACGACTATAAATACACCTAAGGTACAGTTGCCTTGCAGCGACATATTCTACAAGAAGGAAGGGGGACATTTTGTCGGCTGGGATAAAAGAATCAAATCGAATCGAACAGAGCTCCTAGTTGAGGCTGAGAGGCACACACA